TATACACACACATAATGGTCTCTAGAAATGAAATAGCCTGGGTCAATTCCAAGGCCATCTTTGTACTTTCCCCACATTCTGCATTCCAAGACTAGGGAGCCTGATTTTTCTCAGCTTTTTGCTTTCTTGTATTTCATCTTCAAGGTAAGTGTAGGACATTTTCACTGCATTCCATCTATCTTCTCCAGTTTTTGCTATCTTCTACTCAGCTTTTCCCTTTGTCAACAATGTGATGCTTGTGTAAATCAGAAATCTCAAGGGAAGCCAGTGGATTTATACTAAGTACACATGAGAGAATCTATTTCATTTTTATTAATGTATAAAAAATTACAAGTCTGACTGATTTTGAAGTAGTGCTCTGAGATTAATAAGAATCAGTCTTAACTAAAACATGCTCTGAAATCATTTACAAAAGCAATTCTGTTTATATACATATTATACATATGTATAGACACACACATTGATACATACTGTTAAAAGAGTAGAAAAAAGTAATCCTAGCAGTCTTAAAAATGAACTAAGAAATTAATTATGAATTGTTAAATACTGTGAGCCACTAATGGGCTTATAGAAATTTTGCTTTTACACTCCGTGACTAAACTACTCAATTACTTTTGCATTTTAAACCTTTTATTCGTTAATTCCAAAAATATGGAAATAAAAATGAAAAGACTTCCAATAGCTGCCTGCAGTAGGTTTGGGTTGCAGCAACAGCTTTCTGTTGGTGAGGCGAGCTGCTTCTCTCCAGGAGTTACAGCTCTCACTTCAGTTCTGAATGAGCCAGCGCTGTGATCAGATTTGTGTCATTAGGATTTTGTGATAAAGCAGTAAAAAAACAAACAAACAACAACAACAACCCTCTTCTTCCCTTCCCCGGTTAGGAAAGGTAACAACGAAACGCTCCCTGGAAGCTGTGAATATACAGCAAAATCATGAGAAACACATGCAGACTTTACATCCTGGTGTCAGATGCCAGAGAGGAGAGAAATCTCGATGCGAAAATGATGTAACGAAACCTGTTTGCAGCATGGCCAGAAACCAACAGATTCTCCCTTCCTGAACAATCAATCCACTCTCTTCCCCCAAATCATTACCCCGTCGAAACATCAGACTGACAGCTCTCACAAAGGAGGAGCAACAGATGCACAATAATGAATTTCTAATCTCCTAGGAAGCACTGCCCAATTGCAGAACGCTAAAAACAAAAAGTAAAGCTACCAAGGTAGTACCAGGGACAGTCACTGTCCACATCTCCAGCAATCTTTCCCCAGATTCTGTGGAGCAATGAAGCTACCAGGTCACTAGCAGAAGCTAGCCAGCTCTGAGTGGCTACACTGAAATACACAGAGAGAAAGGGTTTAGTGACCTATATGTTCAATATAAACAGAGCATAATTTGGAGCAACTTGGTTTTTTCCCCTCAAATTTTGACCTCTTATAGGCAGTTTCTTTTCTATAGTGTCTCTATATCTGTCTCAGCTTTGAGGATCTCGTTTTCCACACTCACGAAAAAGCTTCCACAGAATCAGCCACCTCCTGGCAGCCCCAGGAAGGCACAGACCGCCTTCTGTTCTTTCCTTCTGTGAACCTGCCACTTTCCATGAAGATCAGTATGTAATTACACCACCGCCATTTTCTAATTAATATTACGGCATCTGAAATATTGAATAATTGAGCTGATTCAGGAAATAATTGCAACCTCTACAGTGCACAACAAACAATAATGCGATAAGTTCGTATTTTGAATCAGCAGAAAAGCTTGGGCGTTCACTTGAAAGTATAACAAATGGAGAAGTCCTCTCCATTAGTTCATCTAAACAAAGTATGTTAAATTAAGATTGTGTATTAACTGTTCTTCTGAAATCAACATTTATTTCAAACTGGAACATCCATGAACCAGCACAAATAATGCAATAATTGTTTACATGATATTTTAATAGGGAATGCCAAGGTATTAAACAGTCTTTTGTGACAGTAAGGATTTAATACACTTCTTTATAAGAACTTCCCTCCCCCCCCAATAAAATAAAAGTATAAATAAGAAATCCTTCACAAATGAACCGCTGAAGAGATTCCAACTCCCCACCCCACAGCATTCTTGCTCTCAAGTCAGACAGCATTTTACAAGGAAAATACAGAGCTTCCCTTTGAGTAAAAAGGAAAGAATGCCAATAATTAGCCACCCAGGAGGCATTTGTCTCACAATATTTTTGTTACTCCATGGCTTCCATTGTGATAGGATTTGTGAAGACTTACAAGTAGGCTTGGAAACATAGCTTCTAATTCAACAGTGCTGGCTTGCCATAAGTAACCCTCATTTGTTAGTTAGAAATCATCGAGATTCTTTTCTTGGACATTTTCAATGGCCACAGAAAACACACAATTTTTTTTGTGGTGCACCCCAGAAATTTGAGCTAAAAACTACAGCATTTACATAATGCTCTTCTCACTCCATTTAAAGGGACAAAAACAGTTGCTGCTTTAAAAAGCAGAATAGAATCATATGGCAAACTTAACACTGAGAAATATTAGTAACTGAATAAAAGGCTTATTTGGAAAGCTGATTTAGAAAAGACCTAAATATCATAACCTCAGATGCAAAAACTCTTAAGAGAACTTACTGGGCTCCTATCCAAAGACACAGAAGAATATAAACCACAGAATTACAGACATAGGTGAAATGACAGAGATGAACAGAGATGCTTGCTTTCTGCAATGATGAAAAACATGAACTTAAAACCAAAACAAATAAAAGGTCCCTGAAAGGAATGTTATGGGTAAATTCTTACTATATTCTGGGTCACAATCTGGAAGCAGAAAATGGTATTATCAAAGTATGAGAAAGTGAAGGTACACTATACAATAAAACGTGGTACAATTTTTGTACAAAAAATTCTACTTTTAAAACAAGGGGAGGGTTTTTTTTTTTTTTTTTTCCATCGTCAAAGAGTAATTTTGATTTAAACAAAGAAAACATAGCCTTTTTATTAACATTCTCAGCAGAAAAGCCAGAGGCTCAGAATGTGAATCAACTGCACTGCCCTATCCTCAGTTCTGTGGGTGTCTCCTCCATGTCAGACACGTTAATGGGACAACAGTGAAATTCTAGGGGAAGTTTCTTCCTTTTTTTTCAGCAAGCTCTGGTAAGTAAGCATCAGCACAAAGTTATAGATAAATATAAAAATATTAGGAAAAAAATATTTTTCAGAAACAGTGCTGAGGTATTGGAATGGGCTGCTGGTGGAATCATCATACCTGGAGGTGTTCAAGAACTGTGTAGATCTGGCACTTCAGGACATGGTTTTGTGGGCATGGTGCTGATGGGCTGATGGCTGGACGAGCTCATCTTAGAGGTCTTTTCCAACTTAATGATTCTGTGATTGCCTAATTGCTTCAAAAATGCTTTTTTTCTTGTCTACTCCCCCCGTTTCGATTTCTTCAGAAATTATTGAAGAAAATGTTACTACACGTCAACTGTACAATTGCACATACCTAGAATTTTACAAGGATCAAATGCACCCATACCCAAAAAAAACTTTTACTGCTTTCTCTACTACTTAATCTGAAATGCACACCTAGCATGTGCTATGTCAGTAGAGTCATAGGAAAGATGATACACCAAAGACAAAAAAGCAAAGAAAACTAAATAAAAGTCTGAATGTTACCTCCAGACATTAAATTTTACTTATTAAATCTACAGTTACATGAAATGGTAAAAGTTACTGCTGAATTGCAACTTGTAAGTGCACTAAACCTCTGTAATCAGACTCTTCAAGCATCCACCATAAGACTCTTTGAGCTGAAAGCAACTGAGGCTTCCTCAAGAACAAATACCATCATGCCTTACTCTAAGAGAGGGCTGCAGCCCCCAGCTATTCAATGCAATTACCTAAGTACATTTAATTTGGAACTATCATCACCTTTCAGTGGGAACAGATTTGTATTAGAATAGCAGCCATGGACCTAGCAGCTTTCTCAAACTGCCACGTAGAACAAGAGTAATTATCATTTGGAACAGAAGAGCTTGAAAGACCACAAACCTGCCCGCTGCCATTTCCAGATCATAACATCCCCGTACATTCTCAAAGGAAGATGTTATTACACTTTCAAACAAAGCCAAGACTTTGACATCCTTCAAATTAACAACTCAAGAAAAAACAGACCACCACAAAGAGGTGGTGATTTACTCTAACTGATTTAGACTTCCGAGAGGGAGCAAGTAAAAAAAAAATATTTTTCTATCTATAAATCTAAAATAATTACAGCAAAATATTTGAAAAGGATAATAACTTACCCATTATTCTATTTTCATCTCTACATACATTTCACAACTAGTACGAAAAAATATTTTAACTACACATTTGAATTAATCTTACACACACATTTTTTCTTTTTAATAGTGACTGAAGTGTCAAATCTGAATACATGAAGACCAATTCTCCTTTCACCTTAAGGCACTTTCCTTGTTCTTAGCAAGTTGCAGTACCTCAGCAGAGGAAATGGACAGTGGAAATAATCAGTATTGATAGAGTATGTTACTACCATACTGTGTAAGTCCAAATTTAGGAAAAAAAAACATTAGAAAATTTGACAGCTGTATATGTAGATACATATATGATCAGGTTTTTTTGTTTTATTTTATTTTCAAACAGCAGAAGTAATCCCAAGGTATGCTTCTACTTTCTGCAGCACATTTTAGATAACAAAGAAAACAGAAAATCCTCCACTCAGAAAACAAAAAATAATTCCACTCAAAAATCAAGCAAAGAAGTTCCATATGTATCATAGCTAAGCAGAAATCTTACAAACTCATTTATTTAAAACTGAAAGAAAAATTAAGAAGAATTTTTTTTTCTTTTTTTTTTTCCCCTCTCTTTCTCTCTCTCCCTTTTTTTCTCTTCACAATATGAGGAATTCAGGCAATTAACTGGAAAATCAATAGTCAAATGCACCAGACACCTGAATTTGAATCTGACCCAAAGAGTTGAAGAGGAATGGTACCTGGAGATGTACTCCATGTCCTTCTGTTTCTGTCCATCAGGTGAAAACTGAACCTGAGCAAGAGCCTCTGCTGACACAGATCTAGAAAGGTTTTAAATTATTATAATGTGGAAGTGAAAGAGGAAAGCAAATAATGATCAGAAACACTGAGAGGGAAATACCAGCCCCTAAGCTAAAGTACGTTTCCATGATTACAGATGGCAGGCTTCAGAAAATTCAGCCTTGATTTTGATAGCTGCACATGAGTTGTCAACTTGCTAGGAAAGAGTGGTGCCAGTAACTCCAAAATCGTGTTAATTCTTAACAAGCACTGGCACATCAAGAATAGAGACAATTGTTACCATATATCTGAGCCCAAGAAACAGATTTAAACAAGTCTGTCTGGGAATGCTTAGCTCACAATGTTAGCAGGAAAAAAGATAATGAGCTAAACCAATTGGAGCACAGATCTCCCACTTGACTTAGCAGAGAAGTACAGATCAAATCTTTTCATTCCACTGCAGATAGAAAACACAGCTTAAAGCTACAGATCAAATCAAAAAGCGTGTCTCAGTGGGAGAAAAGAGGAAAACAAAAAGCCTTTAAGTAACTGATCGGCATGTATTACTCTTAGGGTTCTCCTGGAGATCAGACTGGAGACTGTATGACAAATACTCATCTCTGTGTCACCAACAAAATACTATCAAAAATTATCAGAATGCATTTAAAGGACAGAGTGGTTTTGCAGATGAGATAGAAAAAATGTACCCTTTTGGCACCTGTTGAATATACACAGCATATAATGTCTGAATTCTTCATATTTTAAGGCTGCAGAAATCCTGTAGCGATGCGGACAATCCGTCTACAAGCACCTAGAGTTGTAACCACCAGGTCACTGCACTGTTACTGAATTTCTCCTGGAAGCTGTACTCCTATAACATTCACTCTCTATGTTTGTTGGAATCCTACTGAATCCCATTCAGTCTCAAAATAAGATGTGAAATTACTTCAGTAGAATCATATCAAAAAGTATCAGATTTCACTTAAATCTTCTGAAGCTAATTTTAAGTTCTGACAGCATGGGCAACAGTTTAAATACAGTTTGGGGATTTGCCCTTTTTTTTTTTTTTTTTTTTTTTTTTAATTTAATACCTCATGTAGGCTTCCAGAAATTTTAGCCAACCACTTTAGCTTACCAAATGTGACCTTTGAAATTAAATACTTACATAACTGGTTTTGTAACAAGAAGATTATTCCTTCAACAGCAGAAATACTTACAGACTTGGCAAATCCTCTTCCCCAGTGTAGCCCAAGGCAGTTCCTGGACTGGGTATGACAGTGGGAGAAAGAGAGGCATGTAAGAATGCAGGGATGGTGCTGGGCTGGGAGGAAGGAATGCCTCACTTCTGAATGAACAGACATCACCAGAAGGGAAACTGCAGCCTGCTCAACCCAAACAGAAAGGAAATGCCTGAAACAAGAAAGGGCAACCTTCCCCACCCGGGAGTTTGTCCTCCAAAGTCGAATTCATGCAAAAAAGCTTCATAACTGAAAAGACAAGGAAAAAGAAATGGACAGTTTTAAGCACCATAATATAAGCATACATCCTTGTAAGGATCTAATAGAAGACAGGACACATCCAGGAGGCAGAATGTCACCTCGTGCCACCAGGGATAACTGACATGTAACCACTCCACAGTGTTCACAGGCATGGTCACATTTGGGAATTTCTTGAACGTGGCAGGCTCAAATTTCAAGTAAAAAGCAGTAGACACTGCAAAAAGAGGAAAATCATATTCAAGTAAAGATAAAAATAAGGATTTTTTTTTAATTTTAATTTTGTTTCATGCATTTTCATGACTGTGAGGAAAATGAGCTTGGGCAAGTGGCTTTGCACTGCTGGAGCAGTCGATTCTCACATTGCACATAATGGATTTACAACCTCAAACGTGTAATGTGGCCAAGCAAAAGGTGCTCTGGCAGGGGATTTCACATCTCATCAAATGACAACTGTGAACTTCACAGCAGAGATTAAACCCATGTCTCAGTAGCCAACCATGTGGTAGTTCCATTAAAGGCACAGACAATTTAGCATGCTTAAAAATATGGAAATTATCCCTTAAGAGGGAAGTTTAAGAAGTGATACCTGTATAGATATATAGCCATACGTAAATTAGCACTTTTCTCTGACTCAACAGATCTTTTCAGCTTCTTTGTAACACGGAAAGTACAATGAATTATTTCTGTTTAAATATTCACAGTGCGTGACAGAAAGATGGTTGCAAAATAGGTTTCAGCACTGAAAAATTGATGTCTCGTGCATAGACATCATAAAACGAAGACAGGAATCAACTAAATAAAATTAACAGCAATTTGTTCCACAACAGTTTAAAATATGGATGAGACTACCAATTATGCAGCTGTTGAACAGAACAACTCATTAAATAATTAAAACTGGATTATTAATTTTCCAGTTTTGATGTAATTTACTTGTATAACATGCAAGCATCTCTGATTTATACTCAGGGCAGAAACTCATTTTGTGAGTTGGTTGCATTTTACTAGAATTATTACTCTGTTTCTTACTGCAAGTGTTTTATAAGCACTGAGCTCATGATTATTTTCAAGTACCAGAAATGGCAAGCTGACTGCAACACTCACATAAAAAGGAAGCAACATGCACACTCCTTTCAAATAGTTCTTGGGAAAAAAAAAAATCAAGGGAGGTTTGAAGTGGGATGTGCCTGTAATGCAATTCTATTATACAGGGACAAGAAAACATAAGACAACCTCTTATTCATGCAGGACAAATAGCTGTGCCAAAAGCACAAATTACACCTAATTACAGGGTATAACTCTGTCATCTTTCTTTCTATAACCAAGCCGTTTACACACTTTGATTTTTGACTTCCATTTGGGTTTATTAACATCAAAGCTTTGTCATCACTTATCTGTGTCTGCAGACTTTTTTTTACCTGAGGCAATAAATAAAAACTTCTTTGCATTTCAGCTTTTCAGATGCATGGAAGGTTTAGCCTACATTGTTCTTATGTTTCATGCTTATTAAACCTTCGTATGTTGTTGTAAAGTTTATTGCCCTGGGCATATCGATCCTAAATGTACAATAATTAAAACTACTCTCATTGCATCTAAATGCATTAGCACTCTCCTATGATAAATTTTGTTCTTACTGGTAATGCTATCTTTCATGTAATTACAATGTCTTAAATAGAAATGTAATGGACAATTCAGCTTAATGCACTGTTTAGCTTTTTTTCAAACAAAATGGCAATGAATTTTTTAATTAAGCTATATGGAGCTTTTTTCTGTATATATGGATTACAGCAAAAACACAGACAGCCACCCCCAATGGAATGGAGAAAGTAATGAGTGCTAGAAGAATAATATGACAGCCATTTTCTCTTAAAGTTGAAATCAGAGAAAGGTGAGTGACAGACTTCTGCTTGAAAGCTAACAAGCACTAACACATAGTCAAAAATTAATCTGAAGTCATCAACTGCTAAAATGTAACTTCCTAGCATTAAATAAAAAGGTATTTCAAAATAAAATGTCTCTTGAATCACATATATTACATCTGAATCCATTCAAATCCAATATGGTAAGAATCTTCCTGAAAGAAAAAAGATTTTACAGACTGAACAAACTTTTTTTTTTTTTTTTTTGTTACCATGAAGAAAAAGTTCCCTTTTCCTTCTCAAGGAAGATCAATTAATGCAGAGTAGTACATACAAATAACTGCTGAAGTTATAATATGCCCATTCCATACAGCCATGCATCCACAAGTTTCCTTAATCTCTATTTTTCTAAAACAAATATAATTTTTAATACATTTCCACAATACTCCCAAGTATGGGAAAAAACTATAGCTACAGATTTGTTTAATCAGCTCGTCAAAGCCCTGCGATGATAAAAATTCAAAACCTCATCAAATGTTTCACTACTCCATGAATCTGACTTTCAGAAAGTTCTTTCTAAGATTTCCTTTGAGTAACTCCTAGCATTCTGAACCCTTACATTACTTATCATGGTCACTGCTGGCACAACAGACTATGTCTCTATTTTTCCTGCGACAGCCTTTTACATATTAGAGTGCCTACGTCGTCTTCTCTGCAGACTGAAGAACTGAACGTTTACTCTTTCTCCCAGGGATGTTCTCTACACTTCTGTTCACCCAGACAGCCTTTGTCCAGACTCTGAGGAGTCCCAGCCTTCCCTGGAAGGGGATGCTCATGTGGAGTCCACTGCTCCAGCAGAGTCCCCCATAACACTGACTGAAGACAAGGCTGACTCCGCTCATTTTACCAGCTACACTCTTATCCATAGATTCCAGTGGAAGGATCACCCTCTGATCAGTAAAGTGCTATCAAATCAAAATAATGCATAATGCATCAAAATAATCTTTTTTTGGAGGACTGCTATGATTTACCAGAAGTAAATGTTTCCTTATCTCCACTGAGATTCATCTATTGGTTTGCAGATTATTCTTCCAGCTTTTCAGGATCATTTTGGAATGTGACCTTGTTCTCCTGTACAGCCCCTGCCCTGTTCTGTGTTATCTGCACAATGATCCCAGCTATTCTCTGTCACCAAGATCATTAGGTAAAAAACAGAAAGAAGAACAAGACTCCAGGCAGGTTTCCAAAGAAACTCTATTAAATGTATCTTTTCATTTTGAGAGAAAGTCATTAACAATTAATAGCAAAACTAATCCAACCATTTTTGCACTTACTGTACCTAAGTTTCTCCTAGACCACACTTCTCTGCATTACTTGTGAAAATATCACAGAAGACTAATTAAGGCCTTTAAGTAAAGTCAAAGCAAATGGCAGCTACTCCTCTGGTTCTACTTGCAGGTTCTGCTATTTTAACATAGAGAAATTAAACTTAGTTTGTGATTATTTATTCTTGACAAGCCCACGCTGGCAATTATTCATCTGTTGATACCTTGTAGATACATAAAAACAGTTTGACAAACCATTTTTCTCAATATTTAGACGACTGCACTCACTGTTCCTGATTCCTCTCTCCCCCTCAACAACTGGTACATTTATTGAGTCGATCCCGCACCACTCCTCAAAGATCAAGTTACTATTAGATGACTCAGAAGGTGAGCTGGATAACACAAGCAGTAAATATTGGCAGCACTGCTTCAGATGAGTTAATATGGCTTTATCCTTTCCATATTTCCTACTTAGGAACCAACTGGAAAAAATCTCAAGACAGGGATGATTGTAAGCTAGAACTTACACAAAGAAGAGTATATTTGTCTCTGTATCCTCAATAAAATCACTAGAACAATACTACATTAGTGTGACACCGTCTCAAAGTAGTACATTCTTTGTGTTTTTTCACATCTCTCACCTACATCTTCATTTCTAATGACTTTTTCCACTGAAATTTGTTGTGAAAATTATAAACAGCTGAGTTCAATGAAGTAGGATCATAGCCACCCGCAACACTTTTCCCACTGAAGTTTCAGCACTAGTGGCCAGGTAACAACAGCGTTCTGATACAAGCATATTCAAATCTGAGCTTTGCTTTCACTTCAATTCTTACACATTCTTACACGGGGCAATGGCCGCAAGTTGTATCAGAGGAGGTTCAGGTTGGATATAAGGAAGAACTTCTTCTCTCAGAGAGTGGCCAGGCACTGGAATGGCTGCCCAGGGAGGTGGTGGAGTTGCTGTCCCTGGCAGTGTTCAAGAGGGGTCTGGATGACGTGCTGCGTGATGTGGTTTAGTGCTTGTGGTGGCAATGGTGATGAGGAGACAGTTGGACTGGATGATCTTATAGGTCGTTTCCAACCTTGTGATTCTTGTGATTCTTGTGACATTTCTTTTACTAAGAAGAATGATTATAGCTTTAAAAATGTTAATAAATGAAGTTTAAAATAAGATGTGCCAAACGACATGAAATTCTAGAACAGGCTTCCAATTAAGAGATTACAAAAACAAAAGACACAATGGGTTAAAATGGAGAGCAATCTGTGACTTGAATTATGCACTGTACATTTACCTGCTATAGAAGGGTTTTAGATTTGAGGTCCCACAGGGCTGTAGCCAGCCTACAGGTTCCTAAACATCTACTGTTCTTTCTGAATTGTTTTACACTTCCTACCATTACCTCTCCCCAGTTTGTGTGACATGGCCAAACAATAATTTTACCGTGTACCATTGGCTTTCTTCACCTGATCCAGTAGTTCTAGTGATTTTTTCTTGGCTCTGTGCTTTGGCCTATGAATACAGCAGGTCTCTTTTGAAACCGATACAGTGCCCTTTCATTAAGATCACAGACATCCACTCTGCAAACAGATGTTCCAGCTGAAGGAGGCAGTTTCCCTTCCCTCCTTTTCATTACCGTTTTATCACCAGTGATGCATGCTAATGCAGTCAGTTTTGCCTGAAGCGGGACTGGGAACATCACATGGCTTGGCTGTGGGGAGCAATGGGCAGCTGATGAATAGTAAAAAATGATTAAGAGTGGTGACATTTTCTACAGACTTAGTACTGAAGACAAAGCTTGCCCACTTACCTAACTATTGGTTCAATGTTGTCCTTTCTTTCTGTCATTTATGTACCACTCACCTATTTCCTTATGACTTCTTCTGCCAAGGAGGACAAGCAAAATACATTTTTGTGTATTTTTCCCAAACTTTCAACTTATTTCTTGTTCTTAGTTTGTACTGGGCTTGCTGTCCTGGAATCCAGAAGTCATTTACCTTGGCATTTAGTTGGGACACATCCATCAAGGAGTCACTTTCATGACTGTTTTCCAATAACTGAAGAGGTCCAGACCCTCATTATTGACACCAGTGACTTGGTGATCCTGTTACATATCTACCTGCCTTTTCTGAAATGCAGAAAATTAGAAGGTCACCAGAATATTTACCTCTAACCACCTTCCATGATCTGCACTAGCCTCACTTCAGCACTTGAAAAGAAATTTGGCAGTGTCATTTTTTATGGTGAAAGTTATCTTTTTTCCCCCAACACAGGAGACTACACTTTTTTCCATTTTGTATCTATATAAGCTACTAGCATTCCAGACAAAAATGATACCTGTTGGATTCTGTATTTCAGATTCATCCAACTCTTTGAAATGCTTCCTGGCCAGCACTTAGCATATTTATCCAGGGTTTATTACAGATACTTTGCTGAATATTACAAATTCAAGATATTGTGCCAAGAAGAATTAAACAACAGATATCCTGACTAAGACTATGGATATCTGACTGTGTTCACACATGAGCAATTGAAACCACAAATACTTGAGGTTAATTCTGGAACTCACTCAAAAAACACACACAAAAAACAACAAAAACAAAACCCACCAAACAACCCAGCAGGTAAAGTTCAAAAATGAGCTACAAGGTCGATTACATCTTGTGAAACGTATCTAGAGCTCAATCTATATCTCCCGTCTGAAAAGATTACAGAGTAATTTTTTTTAGGGTAGTTATTTCCTAGAAAATTCTTAAAGCTTCTTCATTTTGAGGTATGATCTACAGGCATAGCAAGAAAAAATTAGAAGATTCAGAAAGGTACCAAACTGGCACCTATGACAATAACAGGCGAACTGATGCTGTAAGAAAAATGATGGTGGCTTTCACAGTCTCTCCAACAAGCAAACAAAAAACCACAAGGGATCTAAGGTGGCAATATGTACTTTGCTCTGCCCTCCTATGCCTTGCAGAAATAACTTGAGATGGGTAATAGTGAAAAAGATCATCACTGTAGCTGCTTGAAGTGGTAAAACTGTTAGAAACTCAGAATCTTCAAGCACGCTTGCTGCCCAGAACCAAGAAACTGAAACATCAAGCTTCCTCACATTAGTTGATCCCTACACATGAAGTGGATTTTAGATGTGTTACATCACAAACAGCCTATTACAGACATGTTCTTTGTAAAGAAATATGTAATGATTTCCTTTCTTTATGACAAAAATCACAGTTGTTTTGAAAGATTTAAACCCAGCCGTTTGTGTGTTTTTGTGCCTCCATACACATATATATGTGCACACATATACATGCAAAGAACTACATATAAACAGTTACACACAACATTCTGATAACTGGAGAATAATGGCACCAGTATAAATAATCACTTTATGAAGTACACAGGGTCAAGTAGTTTCTGTTTACCTTTCAGTATGATAGGAAATTTAAAAAAATGCTATTTAAAAATATTCGCCTGCTTTCAGCCCACCCCTTGAAACAGAGCAGTAAATTTGACGAGAAATAAGAATTGTGTGATAAAACGCAGAAAATGAGAGGTTATACTGCTATGACTTCTATGTAACTGATATTTGGCAAAAACATCATTTGTACATTTGTATGTGTTCTGATTTGATGCACATAAATAAACAAACTGCTTAATTTTTACACTCTTCTGCTCAAGGGAATCAGAATATAACTCCCACACAATTTGTACTTTGGCATATTTCAAGCTTAGGACAGAAACGTAACTCCATCACCAAACACACCATTCCACAGAGATCGCCCAGCACAGTGATCTGTAGCGTCCTCTCCACTATATGACTAGGCAACTTGTATATTTTAACCTGCTACAAAACTGCTACAATCTTACACCCCAAACATGTAAAACCATAGACTTAGACAGAACTTTTTCCAAAAATACGTACATTGAAAATGGCGTACGTGCAAGAAAGTGTACTTGAAACATAACTTTTGTTGAGTCATCTGTACACAATGGCTAAGATTCTGGAGAACAGCCACAGCAATGACAACAGAGTAAATCACAGAATATCCCGAGTTGGAAGGGACCCACAAGGATCACTTAGTCCAACCCCTGGCTCCACACAGGACCACCCAAATCAAACCCTGTGTCTGAGAGCGCTTCCAAACGCTCCCTGAGCTCCAGCACCTCAAGGCCATGCCCACAGCCCTGGGCAGCTGTTCCGTGCCCACCGCCCTCTGGCGCAGCCCCTTTCCCTCACCCCAGCCGCCCTCCCCTGACGCAGCTCCATGCCGTTCCCTGTCGCTGTCACACAGCAGAGCTCAGCGCTGCCCTCCGCTCCCTGTGAGGAGCTGCAGCCACCATCAGGCCTCCCCTCAGCCTGCTCTGCTGTGGGCTGAGCACACCAGCAACTCATACATCTTCTGCTTTAGAACCTTCTCCATCTCCATATACCTCGTTTGGACATTCTCTAAAAGCTCTGTGTCCTTTCTATACTGTGGCAATCAAACCGCATGCAGAACTCGAGGAGAGGCACAAAGGGAAAACTACTTCCCTTGACCTGCTAGCGAGGCCATACCTGATGCACCCCAGAATACAACTGGCCTTCCTGGCTGCCTGGACAACGTACATACGAAAGATAAAACGTTAAATGAAGATGCTAAATTCTATTTCTTTTCTTTGATTCCTAACAATGGGTGCGCACCTAGTAACATCATCCACTTTAATCTGATTGCATCATTCTCATTGGTGAGAGAGAACTGCTGGTGCACAACATTGACAGTGGTAATTCTGAAAGCCATAAAGAAAGCAAAGTCAAATGGAAAAAAAAAAAGAAGCCATTGAAGAACAAAATAAGCCAAATTATGACAACAGAGAAATACATGAACATGAGTACACCATAAAACTTAAAAAGAAAGTTTTATACAATAAACAAAAATAAAGCATGGCCACATAAAATACTGTGTGGCACACAAGGGACACCAGAAGAGGAGAATCTCAGGTAGTGGGTGGTATTCAGGTTTAAAGAATGGGGTTAAAGACGCAAATGACTGAAATTTCTCAGATCATAGCCTTTAACAGCAATGTGACTACAGCTAGGTTCTACAAATCATTTTTGCAAAAGTATGTTCCACATAAGAATGCAATAATAACAAGGCAAATTGAAAGATAGTTTCAAGTGCTACACTTTTATTTGTGCAACCAAGAGTAACAGTGGAACTCATCTTACTATTTTATTCCAAGTTCCAGAAAAAGAAGTCCACAATCTAATACATCCATAATGAGAGATTAAGAGACCTTCCTCTGGAGGATCTATTATACAGTACCAAAATCCAATTGAAATCTATGTTTAAGGAGATAATGGAGGAAGTAATACTGCCTGTACAAATTAAGAACAATTTAGACAATAGCAAGTTTTTGCTAATAGTTTGGATAAAATTTCTATATTAAATTAAAGATTAAGTATAACATAATTTTTCACAACAAAGAAAGGCAGTGCTCCTGTGCATTTGACATCCCCAGGTTACTTATTAAGATCTAATGATATTTTTCATCTATTCATTTGCACTTCTGCAAGTCTGGAATTGTCTGAGATGAATTGTTTTTGCCTATAGATATTTTCTGTTAAGGCTTTGTTTTCATGTCTGTATTCATAACTCTATTCTTTCTGTTTTCTGAATAGCCAGAACATAAGTGCTGAAATAATGACTATTGTTGATTTTATAATTCTACATGTTATCATTCCATATCAAGACAATTAAGTTGCAAAAACCTGACCCAAGCCCCACAGGACTAGACATAATCCAACAATGCTGAATGTCATTCTGAATGCTGAATAGCATTCTAACATAAGTACTGTG